GGCTAGTTTATACATATATTTTTCACCCTCTTTAGCATCTAATTTATTATAAAGATCATTATAGTATTTGAATTAGCATGAGTGAGATCTAAAAATATTAGCAATCAAATTTTCAACCAATATTTTATATATGAATTTAAAGATTTTTGAAATTATAGTATAAATGAAATAATAATAGATCTTGAATTTAAGAATTTATTTAAAAAATTTCACATCTTTAAATTTTAATTAATTTTTTTCTATAAAAGATCAAGTTTTAAATGTCAATCCTATGAGCTTATAATAATACTCTACAGTATATTTGCTTGAACCAAGGTTGCTGACATTTTTACAAGTATTAGTAGTAACAATGCAGGTAAACAAAGAGTAATAATTCAAATGTGTAGTATGCTTAAAGATGTAGGACTAGTGATCAAAGTGTAGCTTAAAGTTTCCAAGGCTAACTCATGTAAACAGAAACTCAAAGAATACAGCAAATTCGAAAAATCAAGCTAGCAAAAAAAAAATTATAATAAAAGCTTGAAGCTACCAATGGATTATTTCTATTTTTTTTTTCAGTCTGACTTGTATGTATTTCAAATATAGAAACTGTTAAGACAACCACAGAACACAATAACTTAAGGAAAATATAGAAATTTGATAAACAATTAATCAAAAAAGATCTTACTCCATGATTCTTATTCTATTGAATGATATGCCTTAGTCAAATTCTGAATCAAATCAATTTGTATTATTAGTTCAGTTTTCAAAATTAAATCTAATCAAACTATATTAAAATAATCATATTGTATAATCAGATATGTGTCAAACAACAAAAAACCACCAAAATGATTTTGAATTTGCTTATGGGTTGTCTGGTTTGCTAAACAAAGAATGGAGAGCCAAAAAAATGCAGTGACATTAAAGTATACTATATTGAAAATATTATAGAATTATTTAATTGCGTGTAAAAAAAATGCAGAAGATTACTTTAGTGTTTAATTTGAAGGAAAATGAATTCAATAACAAGCCCAACAACAATTGTGGTGGTGGAGACAACAGCAACAACTAGAGATGGTGGCGACAACCATTAGAGGCAGGGGGGCAGAGGTGGCACCGTGTGTGGTATATTTAGAAATTGGACAAAACAAACAAGTTTTGAATTAACCAAAACTGAAGTAAAGCGTGAGTTTTGAATACATCAAAATTTTACAGTGCATTTCTTTTTCAACCAACAAGAAGCTAAGCTTTTGAAAACCATTGCATTCCATTAGCATTACCAAGTAATGCAGCAAATCAAATGACCCTTTAACTACTCTGCTTAAGGTCCTAAATTGAAAGCAAATAATATGAATAGTGTATAATTGACTGTACTGTACGATGCAGATTATAGCATATGATATTTTAGCACTGTTAATTTGATTGCTTTAGAATTTTTAATCTAAGGGACCTAATAAATATTGCTTCTTTTCAAGCCCTAAATAAAAGAAAATTGGAAGAGATTGGAGAGAGCTTGACAATCAGTGAGAACATTTTTTAGAGAGAGAAACTCATTCATATTGACTTTGAAAACCTTAAGAGCATTTTTCAAGAAAGGTTGCACTCTAAGTTTTCTTCTTTCTCTATCTCATATTCACCAAGTAAAAATGTAATTGTTTCAAGAGCTGTGATTTTGACTTGTGAGATTATTTGTTCTCAAATTGTTCACAAAAAAACTTGAATGTGGACTAGAGTAGCGGCCTTCCAACTAGGAAAAGGAAAAAGTGTATAGGGCTTCTCCATTACCGTTAAGAAGAGAAGCCTGTTTACCTTATTGAAACAAAAGGAGGGAGGAGTGAAAATCTTAAGTGGACTCAAAGTGTAAATATAGGCATTAGTACCAAAATACCATAAATTGGTTTGTATTTCTATACTTTTACTTTTCAGCACTACACTCTTCATATTGTTTTATATACACCTACGACATAGTGAAATAATGAAAATCTCTATAAAAAATTCACAATCGCATGTGTACTTGCTTCGAGTTATTTAAACATAATAAATTTCTCGTTTAGTCTTGAAATAAAAATCATTATTGTCAATGTTGCCTGCTAATTTTAAATTAAAGAAAAATAAATAATACTTTAAAAAACCAGGCCATTATTAAAAAAAAAAATACACTAATTCAACTCCCCTCCTCTTCAACATGCCATTCACTTCATAAAATTCAGAAAATAAAACAGTATGGATCACCTATGTAGCTTTCTTCTGCTTATAATTATTCTTATGACTTCTTATCATTTTGCAGAGTATCTTCAACAAGACAAAATTCAAAAGTTTTACTATGTTCTTGATCCATTTTATTAAACATAATTATTCAGGAGAACAGGAGAAATTGCTAACAGAAAAGGGCACATTGCTGGCTGAACAGTAGCCTGACACATATCTAGATCAAGAAGAGTATGTGATTCACCTTTTCCACATTCTAATTTCATTCTTTTCATCGAAGGACTGATTCCCCCACACCATAATAAGTCATACCTCTGAGAGCTTTGTTGGAAGCTTTATTATTCATTGGCAATAACTATAGCTATCATCCAAATCTAAATTCTACATGGTTCTAAATTCATGTCAAACATAAAGCCTTTTTTTACCGGAACCAGTTATGAAAAATTGAAGCTTGATTTTTAGGTCGATTTGAAGCCTAAAACATAGGCTGAATTTCATTAAATGAATTGAAAATGTACTTGCGAACTTGGGATAAGGGCAATTATAATGATAATTTAGGTTATCAACAATAAACAAAAAAAAAAGAAAATGAAACAAGTAAAAGAGACAAACCTTAACCATCCTCTCCGATTTAGCTGGAATATTTTATCAACTAAATTCAATAGTGGCACACTGACATTAGGTGGTGTCCACTGCAACAAAAGCAAAGGACTCTAAGCACACAAAATCATGACATTGCAAAAGAAAAACAAAAACAAGAAAATATGAATAAAACATGAGGGGTTAAGAAGCTGAATTTTATCCGTATTTAACGTGATATACCAGGTTGCTTTGAATAATTACAAGATTTAAAACAGTGCATTTATAAGGAAAAACATAGGAAAGAAAAGAGATTAACAACAGACAAGTCGATCTATATCATACAGAAAAGGTGTCTTAAGAAAATGTCACTTCATCAATGGATCGAAGAAACGGACTTCCACATGAAAAAATAGCACAAATAAAACCAAACCTAAATGCATTAACGTCAAAAACTTCATCAAACTTAAACAAAGAAAACATGGGAGCTTCAATTAGTATACTTTTAAAAAATTTTATCTTCATTTTTCTCTTTAGTCCATTAAAAACTTCTAGCTTTCAATTAATATGATACTAGAACAATCAAACAAAATCATTTCTACTAAAGGGTTTACACAAAGTAACAAGACCATAAAAGCTTCCTACATATTTGGATTAGTGCTGGACACTCCACAGTTCCATGTACCTTGCGCTCATAAAACCTCACTTACAAAAACAAACACTTTGGATTATAAAAGTGCACTTCTTTTAAGTCACTAAATAAACTAACTTTTTTCATGGTTTAAACACATACGTAAGCGTTCAAGATGCTCACTTACAAAAACAAACACTTTGGATTATAAAAGTTCACTTCTTTTAAGTCACTAAATAAACTAATTTTTTCATGGTTTAAACACATACATAAGCGTTCAAGATGTTCCATCGAAATTTACAAAATATGATTATAAAATCAAAATAAACAACAATTATTATTCAATCAAATTTGATTCATCAAGTTTATAAAGGTACTAGAACCATTACACTATCAAAAAAAGTAAGACAGGCCATTCATAAAGCCGAACACTAGCTTTAAACGCCGCATTTCTTTTAACTTCTAAGAGAATTCTAATTTGGTGATATTTTACGGTTGCACTTGGGAAAAAACTTTGATCTATGAAATCTATCTATTTATAAATCAAGGGAGTGAGAATGGAGATTAAACTTTGATTTTATTGATAATTCGTTTATCAACAATTTTTTTATGTCTCATCCTTCTTAGGAGAAAGAAAAACAAGCACAATGTGGAAACTTAAGCTCTCTAGAATTATGTCTGACATGAGCAATTCCTTTGCTTGTTAAAGCCCATCATGCTCCATTGGAACCATTCAATAATAAGGAAGATTTGGTAATGCATACTCACAAATCAATCAAATGTTAGAAGTCATGTATAGCTGATTCATTGAAAAGCTCATCGAATATAGGATACATAAACATTCCCAAGGTTTAGACAACAAAGATGTGTTCCATCTGTTCACTCTTCTCATATGCAATAAAAACACAAGCACAAAAAAACTTCTTAAATGTCCTTTAAAATTGTTTGATAACTAAAGCTTGATTTTCTCCTCACTACTTATCTTTGGAGGAACTTCTTTAAGTGATAACAAAGCATATTTAATGCCACTCAGCACAAGTTAAAAAATATTCTTTCTAACATAATGATACATTTCTTTTTTTTTTTTGTCATAAGCTACCTACATAGGCAAAACAACACGCCAAACTTCATCATTATATTTATGGATAAAGAACTTAAGCAAACACAAATAAAAATCTCACCAATATCTTTGAAACAACAAAAATTATATGGTTTTGGGTGTTTTACAAATTATGTTTAAGTTTTACTACCCTTTTTCTGTCATCGTATTTTCAACTCTCTCAAAATCAATCAAAACCAAACATCGCTTACATTAAGGGTGCACAAGAAAATGCTAAATATGTTATTAAAAAGCCAAATCTTCATCTTGGCTTGTTAGCATCGGCAAGACAATGAATAACAAGATTTTAGACATAATATAATTTCGCATATGATTTGTTTGCCTTATTTTATTATTATCTTGTTATTCTTCATTAGCTAAATTGATCCTTGTCTCTTTATTTTTTTTTGCAAGCAATCAGAAGCAAAGATAATGACAGACAAAATAAAAAAATGGATTGTCCCTTGGTTGATTAGGAGAGTTACACACTCTTTTGAAATCTCCTTATTGTGATGCTTAAGAGGCTAATCCAATTATGATGTCACCTTTCTCATCTCAAAATACCAAGAGTAGCGATAGTATTTTTTTCTTTATCAAAACCCTTTCAATTTTTCTTCCATCTTTTAAATCATTTCATAATTCAATTCTAAACTATTTAAATGAAAAAAAATTAAATATTCATAGACGACTATTTTCAAACTACTTAAATAGTTTCTTTAACAAATTTTTTTTTTTTTTTAACTAGGTCGACTCTAAAAATAATACAAAAATCTTTTACAATAACCGGCCATAATTGTTCATTGTTTTGTTCCGAGCAATGAAATTTGGGGTATAATGTGCTGGAGGAAGCTTTTCATCTAATTTATCTTCCATGTCAACTCATGTGGAAACACAATGATTACCACTTTACTCATTGTTTAGCATTGTACTCACCACACTATATCATGATATTTTTAATTCCATTAAACAAATTTTAATTTTCTAAGTTCTCTTTCTTCCATTCAAAAAATATTTCAAGAGATAAAACCCAATCACAATAAGAAGAAAATTTAACTTTATAATCAAAATCGAGCAAGTTAATATAATGCTTTTGTAAGCATTTTCAATTGCATGTGCTAGCCATCCCCAATCCAAGTGGGTTGATGGAGGGCTTATTCAAACTTTCATTGATGAAAAACTTTTGAGCCCTTGAACAATCAACTTTATCATTTTTAAGTGCCTTCCTCAAGCATACAAAATACCAGCATTGTTCTTGGCATACAATGTTAATTGCGGATGACAGCTTGTGGTGGTAACCAACCCCTCCATAATGTGTTGGACATTGTAGTTAGACTGTTGGAGCTCATCAACCACAAATTGCAAATGTGGCTTCATGGGAGTTAGATGTACTTTGGCACCAATTAGGTATGATTGCTTCTATACAGAAGCCAAATGTTGCCATGATAAAAGTTTAAAGATGGAGGTGATGTAAAAATTTTGGACTGTCCTTCAACTAAATGAAAGAGATCATATTTTTTAGTGGACTCTCTTACATATAAGGGGCCCACTCACCAAAAAGAAAAGAGGACTTAGTCATTCTAAAAAGGAACATAAGGTTTTAAAGACAAGATCAAGTAAACTAGCTTCCCTATCTGTGATGCACCAAGCAAACATGAAGAAACAGACACAAACCAATATAAACGTAAAACATGTTTATTAAAGAAAGTATAGGACACTGGTACATATTATACATGACATTATATTATTATATTTCAAAAAGTAAAAATAAATTATAGTAATTTCACAATTTAAATAAATATCAAATAAAAATTAAACTTATTTCAATTGCCCATCAAATAAGCAATATATTTAAATTTATTAAATACCATAAACACAATTAAATAAATAATAACCACAAAATATTATAGTGTTAGCCTTACGAAAATGTACTCTTTTATTTAAAAAAAAAGAAAAGATAAATAATATAAAGCACAAGAAAAAAAGCAGAATAAAGAAAATAAATTGTGCAAAGCAGCTAGTAGGTCATCATAAATAGAATATTTTAAAATAAACGAGATGTTTAACTCAAATTATTTATATAATATGGTTTTAAAACTTATTATTCAGGACAAGTGCGCCAGACAAGTGTTTGTTAATTCCTTTTATTTCTCTTAATCAGAAACGTAGATGATGTTCCTGACATGTTTAGGAAACATGTCTCAGAAGTGCACAAATCTTAAATGACATAGAACACTTCACTATTACATAGTATCGGTGCATCATAGTTCCTAAAATCTCCCATATCCTATTTATTATGTCCAAACAAGCACTTTAAATATAGCCATTTGGGGTTGGCGGACAAATAGGAATAAATGTATAATAGTTGCAAGCTTTAACAATTTTAATAAAATCAATATGGGCATTGAACAACAGAATAATGTGTGCTCATCCAATAAATGCATAAGAGATTGATATCTATAGCAAAGATAAAGAAAAGATAATGCACCTTTGTCAGATAATTAGCCCTAAATCCCTAAGGCAATGAGATTCCTTCAACAATGAACTCATTCCCAAATAATAACTACATTTACAATGTCCAAAGGTCAATAAAAATCATACATTATAATGAATCCAACAAAACTTCCATCCTACTAGAACAAAATCTAATCAAACTCGAGTATTATTTCATCAATGAGCTAGTCCTGACCTAGATCAACATGCAAATGATATACATTCAAATCACAACAACCATTTTAAAGAGCCTCAAACTCACTTAAAGCAATCAAAACAGGATGCAAATGCTGTCAAAATTCTTAATAATAAATAAATAAATACATGTTTTCTTGTTGTTAATTGATCCAGTGAATGGAAGGAATGCTCCAACCATCAAAAAACCAGGTATCATCTAGGTATTAGATGAATTAAACCATCTTGGTGAAACAATTAGCAAAAGAATGTGGAAATTTTTCTTGTTAAAACATTAAGAGGTAAAACTTGAGGTAGAATACAATGCAAAACCTATATGATAACTTTATAGCCAAAACAATAGTATGATTTTCCAAACAAAAAAAATTTGATTTGATATTTAATATGGTAATAAAATATATATTAGCAAGACGGTGCATAGTTCATTAAATATTCTCTGCATATTGTAAGAAAAACAACTTTAAAATTCAAAAAAGGACATCAAATTGCTTTGTGGACAACAATAGAAATATTTGAAAGAGAACCGATTTGTTGGTGTTTGATGAAAATTTAATCTAGCATTTATAAGCAGGAACATCTGTTTTCCCAAGAGCATAAAGCATGGTTTTAACTATTACAAAAAAAATATAAAAGCTAGCAAAACCTATGGAATAGTTTGACTATACGTTACAGAAGAAGGAATAAGTTAATGGAGATTCATGACTTATACCTCAGGTGGTACTTGAGCCAAACCTTCCTTGGTACCATAGGCAACCAAATTATTAAAGGTTGAGGAATTATCAGGACAAATTCTCTTGAACTGCTCTGATAGTTCACTTTTCTGAAACATCAAACTATTAGATTCCTCTTTGTGCTTAATTATCCGTGGTGGAAGACCTTTCAATTCATTGTCTGAATGCCACCCATTAGCTAAAGTAGAAGAATGATCTTCATCATGTGCATCGTCATCAGAGACACTCTGATAAGTTTCCGTGTTGCTGTAAGCCGGACTCAGCTTCTTTGTATCTTCTTCATTCAAAGGTGTATGTTCCACTTGTGTAGAAGAATTTATATGAGACGATGATCCAACAACTTTACGTTTCAATTGACGAACAATATCATCCATGGCATCATCCATATTAACTATTAATGAAAAGAACAGAAGGGGAATAATAATAGTTATAATCACAGGAAAAAAAATAAAACAACAAAATTAAATATATGAACTTTTAGGAGTAACAAGCAGGAAAGCCTCAACTCTTAATGAGATCTCAATGGCATCAAACAGACGGTGTTATGGTTGCACTAAAGCATGCAGTTTAGAGAGGTTCAATTGCCAACAAACTTTGAACTTACAAATGCGCACTTAAGTGTGCTATGGCCACTTTGCATCTGAAGCATACAAGAACTTGAAGCACCTATTTCATCTATGTGGCATCTTTTTTTATGATAATTACGCTATTCACTTCTGATTTTCTTGGATTCATCTATATATAGGTTATCTTGTTGTAGTCATGTCTTTTTTTTTCATATTATTGCTCAATTATTCATCTCCATTGCATTCTACTGTACTTCTGTAAAATTTGGCCATTACACTTTAGAATGAAATGCAGATGGATATTGTTTGATGTTGATTTATAACTTAAATAGGGTCTGTTTATTTTGCTGAAAAGTGGGTGTAAAGTAAAAGGAATACATGTATTTAAGGATTTTAAAATTTTACTTTGAAACCGTAGCTTAAGTGGGTGCAAAGTAAAAGGAATACGTGAATTTAAAGACTTCAAAATTTTACTTTGAAACCGTAGCTTCATTTCATGGAGTTTGGTTGATGCATGAATATCGTGCTAGTCTTGAGATATAAGATTACTGATGCAGGCTTGACTTTTTTGGGCATTCTCATGTTGGTTTCCTAATCTGGTATTTTCATGGTTAGTTTTTGGTATATCCTGAAACCCTGTTCAGTAATCAATGCAGTAAAGAAAAAATGAAAACAATGAAACCGTAGTTTCAAACTTCCAACACGTAATTCCGCAATCAATGCAGAACAGAAAAACTGAAAACCCATAACACTGCAAAAGGAGAAAAAAGAGTAAAACAGAGATCTCCAGCACAACTGCAAAGCTACTATAGCTTCAAGTATGCTGAAGCATAGGAAAAGAAAACAGTAAACAAGGATATTAGACGAAATAAATTTCAAAATATTTCCGCAATAATCAAACCTTGCAAAGAAACAAAAAAACTAAAAAACAAATCCGGTTCTCAATAATTTCGCCATCATAAGCATGTTTTATAAGAAAACTAATAAAGAAAACAAAGACTAGGACAAAGGGCCAACCAAGATCAAAGGGATGACTGTGCTTCCAATGAATAAATAACCTCAGAATTGCATCAACCAGATTCCGTGAAGCTTGAACATTTTATTATACGGAATAGATTGTTGGATAGAAAAACACTAATAGACAAAAGGAAGCTGCGGGACATACCAGCCAATGTTTTCATAACCGAAGTAGATTTCCCAAAGGAATAATTCTTCAAAAAGAAAAAATGATAAACATTAGCTTCTGCAACAACATATGCATATGCCTCAAAAACATCAAATCTTGAGAATTAAAAAGAAAATAACAAAACCATTGATGAAGCACTTAAAAAGTCCCACACTTCATGTTGTTCCGCAATATTAGCTATAGCCAAAAGATCCTAAACATTAAAAAAAAGGTGTACATCAAAATTAGCGCACATTCATTAGGCATTTTCAGCATAAAAAAGGGGCTGATTCGTACTTGCAAATATTTGTCAAGAAGAATGCAACGTTGATGAACAAAGTAATCATCAATGCTGGATGACAAAAATCTCTTTGGTGGCAAAGATAAGGAATAGTTACGTATTTCCTTAAGATGTCGATGCAATCTTTCAAAATTTCGGTATCTGCAACCAAAACCTTACAATGTTAACAAGAAAAAATTGAAATTTGAAGCATGTGTTACACAAATGCCATTGCAGTAAGGGTGCGGCAGAAACAAGCAATGCATTGTTTTCTTGGTGCTTCAGTACAAGTTAAAAACATGAGCAACAGCGCACGTGAGAAGAAACAAACACTATGAAGAACAAGCAATATCGTATTGCAACTCATTAAGCAATATTATAAATTGAAAATCATAATTGTCCACCTTAAATATCATTAAATGAATTTCTTCAGAAAATTATACACGAACAATTTGAATGTAAAATATGCAACCAATCTGTACTATCAGTGGTATGTGAATTTGGTCAGTAAGTCTCAATTCCTACAAGGAGGAAAATCTCTGTCTTCCTTTTCACTCAATTATGCTAAACATAATAAAGAACAGCAAATTCGAAAAGTCTGAAAAACTTTAACTTGTGCAGCAAGGTGAAGCAATAACAATCATTACCGGGAACACTTTAAGTGAATTTTGATTAGAAAAGAATATTGCCCAATACATTAAAATGCCATATAATTTTCTTCAATAAGGTGCACACATTCGCAAAGTGGAATATGCAGCAAGTTAGTAAATTCCAACTTGTTGATGATAATTGAAAGTAGGTAAGAAGAGTTTTGTGCTCAATATTGCATCAATATTCTAGCATGCAGAGCTGGCTAACAAAACATGAATCCTACAAACTGAGAAATCTTCAAAGCTTCCTTTTTTTTTTCTCGAACGATATCACAATCTGCTAAATTTTAATATTCAGAAACATTTTTTTTATGAAACTGAGCACCACAAATATATTGTTTTGATAAGATATCTATGTCTTTCCCATAAATATCATACACATGACGCATAATGTCAGAAGTTTCCCTAAAATATTTTCAGGCCTCACAGTAAAAGAGTAGGAAACATAAATGTTTCCCCCATTACATTCCAATAAATTTATATTGCAAGGGCTATTTTGTTAAAATTATCCCAGAACAGTACGCATGATACAAAGGTTGCAACACACTACTAGTATCATTCTTTTGACCCAGATGTTTTTATAAGACAACTACAGCGCTGCATGAACTGTATCCTTCTTTCTGAAAAGATTTTTTCCTTATAAATCTACTTATTTCATTTTTTATTTATTTATTTTTATTTAAAAGTAGGCTAGCTTAGTAAAAAGAAACCAGTTTTATAACCCTGAGAAACCAGTTTTATAACCACAAGTCATTCTAAGAAAGAGACATCAATAAAACAGATATAAGTTCATAAAAATGAGAACATTTAGTAATTCAACTGTCAAAGGAACAAAGGTAGATGCACGTATCAGTACTAATATTTAGAAGGTAGAAATAGTAACACAATATGCAAACAGCAGCATTTCTTCTGAAACCTGAATGTCAGAATTGATGCATATATGCAAGTAGATATACCAATATAAAAAAGATGGAGTTCAAGAATGCATAGAGCAACACATGCCTTCTCTTTACAAACCAGGTTTTGTTCTCTGCATCTGTTACAGCAATTTTATAAACTGCAAAAGACTTTGAACCAAGTCTTTCAAAGTACGCTCCCACAACCTACAAGACATTTCGAAATGCAAATATGTAAAAAGATTAATTAAATAATTAAAGAATGCTCAGTGACACTGACATTTCTAGAATACATATAATGCTGTCCAACAAACAGGAGGGACAAGGATTAAACTGAAAAAATGCCCGCAAAAGCTATCCCTGCGTAATATGCCAACATGGCAAATCATACATCCATTATCCAAAGTTTTTTATATTGAATACTAAGATATATAATTGTCAAAACTACTAATAAATCAAATAAGAGAATGTGTATACAGTTTGATTGATGTGACCTGTTTAAGAAACAACAAAGTAAAGAAGACACATAAATTCAGCTTTGCCAGCTGCATTGCATTTTATGATGTCAAAATGCATACTGAATGATGGAAGAACAATTAATGATAAAAAATCATTATACCAGTGGAAAGGCATCTCACCAATTACAAAAGGAGTAGTTCAAGGACTTAAGAACTGCAAGTTAACTATCAGCCTAAAGGCCTCATCTTCCAACAAGCTTCTTCTTCGGGATATTTAAAATAACATAGTTTTTCACCTTGGCTTGCCCATTTGATTATGGGTGGCCTACTAAAGCAAACTTCAAATTGATTCCATTTTCCTCGTAGAATTTGATTGTTTTTTTAACTGCCAAATTGTGGACAATTATCCAGGATGATGGTAAAAGCAAGCAAAACAAATGAGAGTGTTAATCCATAGGATTTTTACAATTGTTTTGGTTGTCGGCTTGGCTATTAAGGAGACCTAAACCACTTAATGAAGCAGATTACTAAGACTAGCAAGGATCTCCTCATTAACACCTACGAGAGTGAAACACAATAGTCTATCCCTCAAATAGCAAGTAGTCATAAACTTAAAATTGAAACTAGGCTATCGGACAACTCTTCATAAAATTAGCATTTTTCTGTACCTCTAGGCAAATGTTTCATGCCACAATAAAGAGTCAACCAATTGTGCAGCCCCAACAGAGTATTATTATCACTTGCATGAATCCAATCAGGTGAACCCTTTAGTCACCATTATGAATCTCAATGAGAAAATCATAATAAATTTCAACTGTGCCCAATTTCAATTTTTGTGCCTCTTAGATGAATGTTTTTGCATTGCAGTGAATAATCAGCCAATAGTTTCCCAATTAATGTATCTTCTTCACTCACACCCATTTCAGGGACGCTAACACTCACAAAAATTAAATTTTATAAATGCTTTAAAGTTTCTAGAGAACAAAGCCACTTCGGTTGACTCCATAACATGATTAATGAAAGAGGTCTCCCTCTTTCACTAACATTAATCAAATCAGGTGACCCTTTAGTCACACCTATGAACCTCAACGAGAAAATCATAATGAATTTCAAAGGTTGGCTAAGCTAACAGACCACTCTTTCATAAAATTAGCAACTTTTGTACCACTAAGGTGAACATTTTTGCATTGTGGTGAAGAACCAACCAATCCTTGCCCTATTAGTATCATCTTCACTCACACCAATTTAATTCAGCGACTCTGACACTCACCACCAATAATTTTTCTAAATGCTTTATAGTTTCTACAGAATCAAAGCCGCTTTGGTTGACTCCGTGACATAATTAATGCAAGAGGTCTCCGTCTATCAGGAGGAACCCTGACAATCAATAAAAGAAATTATTAGCTTGGATCTCATTATGTAGTAGCTCTCAAGAATATAACGCAACACCCAAATCTTTGAAAAACCAGGTAAAATTTTATCGAGTTTAAGATGTACCCCAAACTTTGCATCCCAAAAATTCGAGGGAGTCAATTTTATAAAATTCTATGCAACAAATCGGTCAATTTGATAGATAGAACCAATAAAATATTTTAAACGTATGGGAAAATAAAAAATTAAGAAGTAAAAGTTTAATTAACTCTAAATAATCCTAATTATTTCCTAATCTCTCACACCCTTGCTGTAGCTACCGGCCTTCATATGTGATTCTAAACATTAAGATGATTCGAACAGCTGAGATAAGGTGGGGATCACGTTAAATGCACACCCTTGCTGTAGCTACCGGCCTTCATATGTGATTATAAACCGTAAGATGATTTGAGATAAGGTGGGGATCACGTTAAATGCGGTGTCCCCTCTCCCTCCCCCGTACGCCTAAAGCTTTCGAGATTAAACCACAATACTAGAAGAGCATGCACGACCTGCTGAAAGGAGCCGCATAAGGCAATCCAGATTTCCGAGGAGAAATTGCGAAGGTAAGAAACCCTCTTTTGCAATATTTGACAGATTCATTTCCTTAAGTTTTCTTTTTGACGTTTACCACAAATTAGTGGACTTTTTAGCTCGCCTAGACCGAACCATTCCAGGCCTCTCTATTTTGGGAGTGTCAACATGTTCCTTGGCCCACTCCTAGTTATCATATTATTACAAATTCTCTTTCGTGGGAGTTTAGGGTTACTTTTGGATTGTGTTTGTATCATTGTTCTAGACCTCCATCTTTTTGCCCCTTACTACAATCCCCTTTCCCCTTGATGTCGTCACCCGGAATAGCAACCTTGTTGTTCTCCTAGCTCTCCCAATTGCCCTACACTCACTTTCATCCCCAAAACAACACTCAGAAGCCCCTTACTTGCTGCAACCGCCACCTTCCAATCATTTGAGCCACCTGACACCCCTCCCAATCCACCTAGCCAACCACCAGCATCCCAAGAACGAACCCAAACTTTAGTTTGTGTTGCTAGTTATTATTTTTCGTATTAGTGTATTTGATTGTAATCTCCTATTTGCTTTCAGTAATAAGATTTATATTTTCAATTATTATTTTTGTAAACTCCGGCATCATTTGATATCAGAGCTAGTCTAACCCTAGTCCTACACTAGGTTTTCTAATATCCACCAATACTCAACCCTATCCCCACACAAGAATCCTTCCCTCCATTGATTTTTCAAGGCAACCACTCATTTTTTTTTCCTACCCTCCATCATATCTATATAACTACTTCCAGCGATCCATACCCAAGCCCTAATCATGCCTTAGAAAGAGACCAAAATTGCAGTGGTGGGTGAAAAATTGTTGTGGTGGGCTTAGGTATAATTGAAGGGAAATGACAAAATGTCATTTATGAAAAATTTACAAAGAGGTGTCCAAGAGATTTCTCAGGAGGTTATGCAGTGGAAAACACACCATCTCCAATAAAGGCTTACCGCCTTCCGCCTTTGAGAGGAGACCATCCAAAAGAGTCACACAAATTCTATTCAATCCCGGAGATGATGAACCACTATCCCGAAGATTTAGCATGAAAATTTGGATAAGACAAAATTTTAAAATAAAGGTAGATTTGCCATGTTTTGATAGCCACATGAATCCAGACGATTTCATTGAGCGACTCAAAACCTTGGAATGTGCTTTAAAATGCTAGGACATCCCACTGGACTGAATGATAAAACAAATCATCGGTAAGTTAAGGAAGAGTGCCTCTCAGTGGTGGGTGAATTTGAAAATTCTTCGACAGTGATAAATAAGAGTGAAATTATTACCTGTGCTAAGATGAAATGAGAGATGCAACGTCAGTGCCTACAAGTTCATTACAGGCAGAATGGTCAAACCCTAACTTTAAGAGGGGAGAGGAAACATCATCGGATGACCATCACACCTTACAGGCCAAATTCAACCCCAAGATCAAACTGCAAGTGCACACTTAACAGAACATCCAAACCAACCTCGCCTTAGGAGAAACTAGGCTAGAGTAAAGAACAATGAAGCCAACAACCATCCCAGTAATAAAGTATTTCAAGTGTCACGGATTTGGACATATTTAATCAAATTGCACAACCAAAATAATGGTGTATTTCATTGAGAATAGAGTTGTTGAAGAAATTGACAATGACATAGTAAACACTGAAGAATGTGAGGACATAAGGGAGCACCAGATTTCAACTAATGAGGGAGAAATGCACAAAGTTCAAGCTGAGCTCAAGAAAAGCCTCCAACAAAATTAACATTGGTGGTCCAAGATGGTCCTAAATTTGAGAAACCAACAATAGACAAATGGCAACCCCAAATAAAAGAATCTCAAACTTCTCAGAGATATAGTCTACTTTCTGATTTGTCCCTACTGAGGAAGGCCAACATATTAGAAATGAGTTGCTTTTAGGCCACTTCTGAAAAATTATATGGAGTCATCCGGGTGTTAAAATCAGTTTAACAGTGCACCACCAATAGATGATCATACAAGATGAATGAATCACAGCATTAGACTAAGCTTGTAGTTTAACAGTGCACCCCCTCTAGCTTATTTTATGACTAATTATCATTTGCCCTACATTGAAAATTTCATGTATGGCCAAGATTAAGCCAATTTATCACATTAGAAATTTTTTGAGTCATACCTAGTTCAATTGACTTGCCTAGAAAAAAGGAATGAGAATCTAGCCTGATCAATCGTAGAAAGTTCTTCGAAAATAGTTCTATGCCATAAGTCACTTGTGAAGCAACCATAAGCACAACTTTTTAGTACACTTGGGTTGTAATTAAGCAATTTGTGACTAACAAATTGTTCAAGCCACCACTGCTAGTAGATTATTATGCAAAAAGGAGTTAATAAAGCAAGTTCAAACAAAATGAAAACATGAGAATGATGTGCATTAAAGACCAAAACATAGAAAAAAGAGGTGCCTAACGCATCAAAAGTATTTGGAAAGACTTTTAGTAAAGATAAACATGTATTTAGATATCACAAACACTTTGAAATTATGAACATATGAATCACGGCATTTGCAAGGAAAAATAATAAAATTCCAAGGAATATGAGAAAAAAACAGTACGCTAAAACTAACACAGTCAAAATTTGAATAATAAGCTCTCATGTTTTTTTCATATGGGATAGTCTCCTTCTCAAAGGACAGCTCACTCCCTTCAAGGCAAGTACCTGAGTTATGCTTCTTTTAACATATGCAATTGATAATTCCAAAAAGATTTCCATCTTTATGTCCAAGGATTGTAAATCTAATCTTTAATCTAGTGTGTTTTGCTCTGTTGAAGGGTCACGTTGGAAGTGTGATCCAATGCTGGAATGGTACTCTGGTATTCACTGACAGTACTCTAATGCATGCAGGGCATATTTTCCATTGCATGTTATGAACCTTAGTTGGCTTTCTATATGTCCATTGTGTTATCTTCCACCCCCAATCCTATCAAGCATTCATCCTTCATATTCTCGACCTCTAAGAGTCTGTTTGGGGCAGTTGCAGTAGTTTAAAGAATGAGCTGTAAAGCTACAGAAGAAAAAGCTATTGTTCAAAAAATTGGTTATTACATAAAAAGATTTTTATTGAAAAAGTCAGACATCAAATTTCTAGCAGCCACCGCAGGTAGTCAGTCGTGGTAAGAAAACGCAGCTTTCAGGAGTAGCTTTAAGAAATGGAGTTTTCTCAAACAGAAAAAATTGCGGTGCGAGACCACACCGCGGGCCCAAACGCACCCTAAGTCAAGTCAAGCATTCAAGTTGTGCTAATTAGTTGATGAATGTACCTGCTCAATTTAGCCTTGAATAGTCAATAGTTTTTGGAGTACCAAAGTTTTTCACAACTTATCATTTTAAACATTTACCTGACCATGCAACGGTGCAACAAGTTTATATTAGTACTTTGACACATGTGCAGCCCCTGACTTTTTTATGACCAAGTACCATTTGCCCTATTTCAAACAATTGACTTATCAAGAGAAAAGAAATGAGTAATTATAGAATCCAGCTTAATCAATTGTAGCAAGTTGTCTGGGAATGGTTGTCTGCCACAAGTCACTTTTGAAGCAACTGCAAAAGCACAATTTTGTTTCGTTCGCTTGGGTTGTAAGAAGTAGGGGATTTGTATCCAACAAAGTGTCCATGCCACCAATGCTTAAAGATTATTATGCACAAAGTAAATTGAGCAAGTTTGAACAAAACGAGTACATGAGAAAGATGTGCATTAATGGCCAAAACATAGAAAGAGGAGGTGCCTAGCACATTAAAAGTATTTGGATTAACCTTTTATTGAAGATAAGTATGGCTTTAGATATCACAGACATAAAAAATCACAGCATTTGCAAGGAGAAAGAATAAGTTTCCAAAGAAAATTAGAAAAAAATCATTAAACTAAAGCTAACATAGACAAAAGTTGATTAATAAGGTCCAGCAACGAAGCACTACAACCATATGCAGCATATCAAAGGAACATTTCGTTAGTGACAACTTGAAAATCAAAAGACTAAAGTCTTTAAATGAGAAGATAAATAGCAGCAAACTGCATAAAAGTACAGCTCACTCACTCTGCACTTAAGCTTAGGAACATATGAAGAGCCTTCACCGTGGAAAGCCATTTCAGCACTTGGCTCTTCACTATGCTTTCTAAAGTTTGAGGTGTAGAAATCCTTATAGATGATATTTTCACCAGTCTTGCAAGTATAACATGCATCCATATCAGAGGTACTATTACATCTTTTAAGCTGATTAGTACTGTCGACAGATCTCATAGTTTCTCCAGGCCCGTCATTGGAATGAAATCCCTTAGAAAGTTCTTCCCTGATAAGATCTTTAAGAAAAATGCCGTTAGAATATTTGTTGATACAATTTATCAAACGAGGGCTTATGCTGAGATAAATACCAGCCTTAATTTAATATACCTGAATTAATTTTGCTCGCCTTAGTTGACAATTCATTCCTGGAATCCCCAGCATGCATGTCAGTACTCTTGATGACTAAATCAAGCTTACCAGCTCCTGAAGAAGCTTCTGCTTGCATAAGCTTTGCAGTTTTCTTTTTGTAGTTTCTTCCTTTTGTCCACATATTTTCAAGATTCTCAGGAGTAAGAACTTGAGTTCTTCTTTTTGTAGCAGCTTCTAGTACAACAGCCCATTCAGCTGCCCGAGGTTGGATGGGAAGTGAAGAACCTTCTTGCAACATGGTTTGGCGGCCTTGCTCCAAACCAAATGCCCCTCTATCAGCTTTACTTAATAACAAATCACTTGGCTGAATGGAACTTATAGTTCTACCATGCTCTGGCTCAACAACTGAAGTATTTTCCTCTAGCACTTTATCAACTTGAAAAGAATAAGTTGCCTCCGGAGGCCCAGAGGGAACAACCTCTGTCCCAACATTGTCATTACTTGAGAGGAAGATATATTCAATCAGTTCATTGACGTACCTAACAGATATATTATCAGCCACTGCTTCCGGATACATACGGAGATTAAATATGTGGTAATTGGTATATTAAAGTATGAACAAATCTAGAAAAGACGAGAATAATAAGAATAAAAGGAAATGAAATTACAAAACAAACCCAAAACTAAGATGGCTAAATAACTATTTAACCTTGCTTAAGAACCAGTTGCTAGTCCAACCTGATTGTTAATAGCTTTCCAAAATTAGTTTTCATTTTTTTTTCCTTTTAGTAAGACGAAATGTGATACATATATAAATAAATAAATAAATAAATACATATATATATATAAGATTAGTAAATTGGATGGTATGCATATTGTTATCCAATTATCAGATGATGTAGACTATGCTCATTTGTTTGAAGAATACTCGTTCGAATAGATGACCGTGTGATGAAAGTTTTAAAATGGGCGGTCGATTTTGATCCTCTCAATGAACCTCCTACCATTCCTATATTGCTGCGCTTCCAAGTCTGAAGTTCCATCTCTTCAAACACGAACTCTTCTCCTTAGCTATGGTTCTCAACACTGATATTCCCACAGTTAATCTGAGTCGGCCTTCTGAAACCAGAGTTTTGATTGAATGAGACATTACTTTACCTTTATTGGATGGGATCTGAATTGCCTCACAGCATCAGGGTTTTGGGCAACGGGTTAAACTGGAACAGTTCCCGCTTTACTGAACCCACTTGTTAGTGTGGAGCTCATTACAAAAAAAAAAAGGTTCCGACCTCTGTTTCGCGAAACAACCACCCACCCTTTGTCGTTTCACGAAACTGAATGAAAGTTCGGCCTCTTCATTGCTCAACTGCTCCCGCCATCCTTAAATGCAAGCAGAAGACAAAAGGAATAAAATTAATTCCTAAGTGTGATGGTGAAGATATAATGGAAAGAATAAGGTGATTGTTTTTTGTGTGGCTTCAGTGCTTTGTTAACAGAAGAAGAAGAATTAGAATTACGGGAAGAGACAAAGGCTAGGCGGAGAGAATAAAATGTTTTGTTTTATTCGGTTTTCTTCTTCGTTGTTCTCCGCATTTTTCTTCCTTGATTTACGGGGAGAAAGAAAGAAAAGTGCGTTTTCTTGTAATCATCGACGTGATCAATAGTGTGTAAATTTCTCAAGTAATAAAATCATATGCAACTCCGCAGACATAGGCAACTTGTCGAACCAAGTAAATCTGTGGAGAAAGAAAGAAAGTGTGTTTTCTTGTAATCGTCGACGTGATCAACAATGTGTAAATTCCACAAGTAATAAAATCCTATGCAACTCTGCGGACATAGGCAATTTGTCGAACCAAATAAATCTATGTGTTCCGCTGTGTTTTCTAGTTTTGTGAATTTTTTCGCTCTGTTTTTCGCTTCCTTGTCGATCATTCTATTTTATTTTATATACCACAACAAGTGATATCAGAGTCATGATTCGGATCTGAGAAAGAATGATGGCTGCAGAAGAAGTGAAAGTTTCAGGGATCGAGATATTGATGGCACAGATTTTGATTATTGGAGGATGCATATAAAGGACTATCTTTATGGGAAGAAACTTCATCTTCCGTTATTGGGGAAAAGACCGGAAAGGATGGATGAGGCTAAATGGAATTTGTTGGATAAACAAGTTCTAAGGGTTATTCGATTGACCATGTCAAGATCCGTTGCACCCAATGTCGTCAAGGAAAAAGGCTACTGCAGATCTCCTGACAGACCTGTCAAGTATGTATGAAAAGCCATCGGCGAATAACAAAGTATATTTGATGAAAAAGTTATTCAATTTGAAGATAGTGGAAGGTCGTCTGTTGTACAATGTCTGAATTATTTTAATACGATCACAAATCAGTTATCGTCTATGGAAATTAAATTTGACGATGAGATATGTGCACTGATCTTATTGGTTTCATTGTCAAACAGTTAAGAAGCTATGAGGATAGTTGTCAGTAATTCTCCAACTAAATTTAAATTGAAATATGGTGATATTCGTGATTTAATTTTGGCTGAAGAGGTGTGCAGAAAATATTTTGGCGAGATCTCAGGTTTGAGTTTGGCATTAAATATTGATTCCAGAGGAAAATCATAGAACAAGAACTCAAACAGAGGAAGATCAAAATCAAAGAATAGAAGCAGAAACAAATTAAGACCTGATAAACAAGTAACTTGCTAAAATTGTGGCAAAACTGACAACATAAGTAGGAACTGCATAAATCCTAAGAAGACGAAAAATGACAGCGCAAATGTAAAAACTGAAGAAGCGCAGGATGCACTACTGTTGGCAGTTCATAGTTCTGTTTGTGACTGAACACTGGATTCAGGGGCTTCATTTCATACAACTTTCCATCGAAAATTGATGTAGAATTATGTTGCAAGTGATTTTAGGAAGGTATATCTGGCAGATGGAGAGCTTTGAACGTGGAATGAATGGGAGATATTTACATTGCACTTTCAAACAAGAACAAGTGAACTCTGCAAAAGATCAGACACATTCCTGAACTGAAGAAGACCTCATTTCTGTTGGGCAGTTTGATGAGTGTGAACATTCAGTAGTGTTCTCAGACATCACCTGTAACGTTACTAAAGGAGCTTTGGTACTGGCTCGAGGTAAGAAAACAGGTACGCTATATATGACAACTGATTTAATTAACAGTGTTGATACTACTGTTGCAGAGAGCCCAATAGAGTTATGGCATTGCAGACTTGGGCACATGAGTCAGAGGGGTATGAAGGAACATTATTCCAGAGGTAAGCTATCATAACTGAAGTCAGTTGATCTCAGTATGTGTGAGAGTTGTATTATGAGAAAATAGAGGAATATCAGTTTCTTGAAAAGTAACAGGATGTCAAAGGCAGGAAAGTTGGATCTTGTACACACAGATGTGTGAGGACGTTCTTCAGTGGCATCTCTTGGAGTCTCTCATTACTACATCACATTCATTGATGATCATAGCAGAAAATCATAGCAGAAAGGTATGGGAAAGGTATGGGTTTATTTCTTGAAACATAAATCAGATGTATTTAGTGTGTTCAGGACTTGTAAAATCATGGTTGAGACAGGGACAGCCTTAAAACTGAAATGTCTGAGGTCTGGTAATGGTGGTGAGTAAATTGATGGTGGGTTCAAGAAGTATTGTGCAGCTCAAGGCATCAGAATAGAGAAGACCATTCCAGGGACACCATAGAAAAAAAGTGTTGCAGAGCGCATGAACAGGATCATTAATGAGCGGGCTAGAAACATGAGATTGTATGCCGGACTACCACCTATTTTCTTAGCAGAAGTAGTCAGCACTGCAGTTTATTTGATTAGCAGGGGGTTATCTGTTCTATTAAATTGTGAATTACCTTAGGAGATCTAGAGTGGGATAGATGTCAAATTTTCTTACCTTAAAACTTTTGAATGTCTTTCTTATGTTCTAATTAATTTTGATGCTCGAAGTAAGCTTGAAGCTAAATCAAAGAAATGTTATTTTATTGGCTATGGAGATGATGCATTTGGATATCATTTCTGGGATAATTAAGGAGATGATGCATTTGGATATCATTTCTGGGATAATCAAGGTCGGAAGATCATAAAAGGAACGTGATTTTCAATGAGAATGTTATGTACAAGGACAAGTCCAGTACAATTTCTGGAACAGCATTGTACAAATCTAAATTGGTAAGATTTGATGATTTATCGGATGTCACAGTACAAGGCAGACATACAGGTGATGAGGAGAGTGGATCTGGGACACCTATTCCTATTGTTTCACAGTCATTTTCAGATGAGTCCTAAAATTGCAATTCGCAGGTCAGAAAGGACTAGACGTTCTCCACAACGTTACTCTCCAACTTTAAACTACATTCAACTGATAGATAATGGAGAATCTGAGAGCTATGAAGAAACCTTGCAAGATGAAAATTCGAGCAAGTAGGAGCTTGCCATGAAGGAGATGGATTCTCTGTGAAAAAATCAGACTTGGAAGCTCTCCAACTTTAAACTACATTCTGCTGACAGATGGTGGAGAATCTGAGAGTTATGAAGAAACTTTGCAAGATGAAAATTCGAGCAGGTGAGAGCTTGCCATGAAGGAGGAGATGGATTCTCTGTGAGAAAATCAGACTTGGAAGCTAACAGATATAGGCATTACACAACAAGTGGGTGTATCAGATGAAGACTGAGCATGATAACAGTAAGAGGTACAATGCTAGACTTATTGAAAAAGGCGTTCAGCAGAAATATGGTATTGATTATTCCGAGATTTCCTCTCCTGTGGTGAAGCTCACAACCATCAGAATGATATTATTATGGTGGCTACTGAAGATCTCTTCCTTAAATAGTTAGATATGAAAACAATCTTTCTTCATGGAGATCTTGAAGAAGACATCTACATACAATAACCTGAAGAGTTCGTGGTACAAGAAAAGGAAGATTGGGTTTGTAGACTGAAGAAGAGCTTGTATACCTTGAAGCAAACTCCTAGACACTGGTATAAGAAATTTGATAATTTTATGCACAGTACAGGGTACAGCAGATCATTTCTATTATGTCAAGCATTTTGACAATTCTTATATTATTTAACTGTTATATGCGGATAACATGCTTATTGCAGGGGCTAGTATTGATGAGATCAATAATCTGAAGGGGCAGATGTCAGAGCACTTTGCAATGAAGGATTTGGGAGCGACAAAGCAAATCCATGGCATGAGAATTGTCAGAGATAAAGTCAAAGGCACGTTGAGACTCTCTCGGGATGAGTACATGAAAGAGGTACTTAAAGGTTCAATATTGATAAGGTCAAACCAGTTGGCACACCCTTGGACGTTGACTTTAGACTCAGTTAGAAGCAGTCACCTAAGTCAGAGAAAGAACGAGACTACATGAGTAAGGTTCCTTACGCTTCAGCTATTGGTCACTTATGTATTTTATGGTTTGTACCGTTACGCTTCAGCTATTGGTCACTTATGTATTTTATGATTTGTACCGGACCGTGTACCGGACCGGATATTGCCCATGCAG